AAGTCAGGCTGCTTGCATTGGAAGGGAACTCCTTCTGATGTAACGTGGCAGTGGCTTGGATCCAGCATCTGCCTTCTGAGCGAGAGGACTCCCCTCATGGAAGGTCCCTCCATCTGGTTCGTGGTGAATTCCTATACCTCACATATCACAGCAGTGTCTCCTGACTCTCTGGGCATATTTTAGGGGGCACAAGAAGCTGCCCTGGAAAATGGGGTAGGGAGATTTACTTCCACCAGCACAATTGATGCAGCTTAAATGTAGATTCAACTGTTGCAAGTTGGCTAGATTTGAATAATTACCCTTGGCAACACAGCATCTCATGTCCAAACCTGGCAAGTGTGGTTTGTTGGGGTGGATCATAAGCTAGCCTGCCTAAGCATGACAGCCCAGGGGTTCTGAGTGGTTTGCTACCCAGGCCGGCAAGCTAACTTCACTGTGTTAGATGCTTTCCAGTGAGGGAATTTTGCAGACCTGCCTGGCACCCTGGTGGCACATGGACAGAATGTGCAGGGTAGCTAAGCCGTGGTGACTTGTTTACAACCCTACATTCCTGCAGATCAGGCCAATATGTCCCTTACATTTGGATGCCCTGAACTGGAAACTGCCAGCGTTTCTGGAACTTTGCAATTTCAGTGTAATTACTATTGTAATCGGGTCTGGTTTTTTTTTTTTTTTAACAATAAAGGAATTAATGGTATTTGTATATGCTGTATGTTCTTGCAGTAATACTTGAAAGCCACATTTTACTCTCTGAAAATGCTCATGTAACAATATACTCATTTATCAGTGCATATATCTCGTATGGTATGTCCTCTACAGGGTACATACTCTATCATGACTGCAGTGTGCCTGCACAATGTATATGCACATGAGGTCAGTTTAAAAGGAAAGTATAACTTAAACGTGTTACTGGGAGCACAGCAGGTATTCATGGTATACACATGTCCCTTACTGTAAAACACAAGGGGGGAGCAAGACTGTGCCATGTAGCCGCAACTTGGATGTCATGTATGTTACACAGGTGTCTGTGCATACATATGTGTTTATGTAGGTTCTTCCTTGCAGATGTTCACACTGTGTGTGTGCACATGCAGGGAAGGGCAGCTTACATAATAGGCAAAATGTCAGGGATGGAGCTGCTATAATTACACTTAAGATGATAAATCTCAATGAATATAATGTAAAACACAACAAGCTTAAGTGAAGTAATGGGATTAATAAAAGATACTGATAGAAATCTGATATAACCTGATATAATCAGTTATGCTTCTAATGCATGGAATTTAATTCTTGCTGTAGTCAATGCACTGGAGCTCCAATCTTGAAGTTCCACTGAAATCAAAGAACTGGTGTTATGATTATTTAATTGTTCACTCTGTGTTCTAGCCACCATCAATGGGCTGCCAAAAATTTCCCATAAACATGAAAGTAAACTGGAGTTCTACATGATCCTGTGTCTCTTGTCATTCAAGCAATACTGAATGATGTCTTTTTGGAAGTTACAGTGTATTGTTAATTGCTATATGCATCACAGAAAATGTTTCTGGATAATGAATTATACTCAGACCAGTTTGAAAGAATTAGAATACCTAAGGGGTAACTTGCTTCAGGTAGGAGGCTGGCCATATAAGCTCAAGTAAAAGTTACAAAACTTAAATAAAGGAACACAGTGAGGTACATCTAGCCAAGAAGTACAAATACTCTGTTTCTTATTTGTTACCAATGACCCATTCAGATTCATTACAGCCACCACATTATGGGGACAAGACAAAGAAATCATGTGAAATTCCAGAAAATAAATCTTGGGGAAGAAAATAGCCTTGTTAGATGCTTATTGCCAAACCTTCCTAACCAATCTGCTGCTTTCCCTAGTGACCTGAAGAGAAGATTTTTAAAATGATGATGATGACTTTATTCCACAGTAAACCTGACTAATTTACTGTATAAAGGCGATTAAAATGTAGACCACACAGTAATATTCAGATAATCCCCTACATACCCCAATATCCACCAGGAAGAATAATTCTGCTATTATAGTACACATGGGACAGGGGCCTGGGGAGGAAGTGAAGACTAAGTAGTATAAAATGAATGAATGGCTTCAGGAATAAAAGAAAATGCAAAATTGGCATTTTGAAAATGAGTTGCCAATAACAAAACAACAACTAAAATTAATATTTTTCTTTTGGAAGTGAAAAATGAAGACTGGACAGGGGCAAGGAGGAATCAAATGGAAATAACATTCTTGAGAAATAAAATGATATGGGGTGACTATCTTAAAGATGAATAGTACAGCCCATGGAAAGTAAGTCAGGTTGTGTTTGAGTTTTGCATCCATGGAAACCTGCATAGAATTGCAGTCTGTGCTGTACTTGCTGATTATTTACATTTCAGCAAATGCAATGCAAGGCCTTGGAAAATTCAGTCCAGTCTGCTCTGTGGTCAGGCTCCCATGGTTTAGGGCATGGTGAGTAAGGTGCATCCCTCCGGCTTTTGGACTGTAACTTCCACCAGCCCTTTCTCATATAGCCAATGTTGAGAACGATGGAAGTCCAAAAACATCTGGAGGGCTACATGTTCCCCTTCCTTGCTTTAGGGTAGCTTCCTTTAGGTGGGACTTTCCAGATGATTTGGCCTACAACTCTCATCATCCTCGACAATTGATCATGCTGGTTTGGCTGATAGTAATTATATGTCAAAATTCTGGAGGACCTAGGTTGGGGAAAGCAACCTTAGGATGACAAAGGAGGAGTAGCATTCTGTACCTGTTCTATTCCCAAGGAATATGGCAAGCGGATCAAGAACTGAGGTTTTCATCAGATACATGTAGAGAAGAAGTAATCAGTGTGCTGGCTTAGGAAGGCTAAGGGTTTTGAAGTTTTGGATAGGAATGGCACTTGGCAGTTTCTGTAGAAATGGAGGCTTGGGCATATAATGAACATTTAATATGTGAATGAATGAATGAATGAATGTGATAAATAAAATGAAAGATTATGATTGGAGATTAAAATAAAAGCTACAATTTGAGACTGCAAACTGCTGTATGTCAGTGAGAAATGGTAGAGAATGGGGCACCCTAGAATATAGCAACATGCATGGTTTTTAGTTATGTTCCTGTATCCTCACAATGGGAATGAGGCTGCCCTACGACTGCTTGGATTATGCTTTCAAAGGGAGACATGCCAGCTTTAACCCGGTGTTGATCCTAGCATGGAACCATGTTCTTTAACGGGACTTATATTGCTGAGACATGCACTTCACTTTGGAATGTAGCTTTAAATCAAGCAAGTTCTTGCATTTGCTCTTCTGCAGAGACACCGCCTCAACATTCTAAAAGCTAATTAACAGAAAGATATTTATTAATGCATGCATCCATTCATTAAACTTAAATCCCACCTTTCCATTAAAATGATGCTCTCAGGGTAGACATATGAACTCATAAACCATTGTGTGATTAAACTGAAATATTCCTGTCAACTATTTCTTTTGTAAAGTCCAAAACAAGCTGCCTGGATGCGCACAAAACTGGAAAGTAGTCAAAGAAAAGTCTGGCACTGAAAAGAACAGTCCCTGGAAATGCACTGCTAATAGAAGGAATTTCAACATAGATGGGCAGAGTACTAGCAGATCCGTAACAGAGAGGAAATGACTGCCTCTCTTGTCATTGCCAAGTGGATAGGTGATTTGTCTTTGGCATTTTTTAATGCTTGAAATTCTCTTAAGAGGAAAGGAGTCTCTGGAGTGCTTTATGCATGAATGAGGCATTCTCAGTGGATATGGGTCATGCTAGTAGATGTACACGGGAAGATTATTTGACTCCAATTCATGCCACTTGATATAATGTGATAAAACATTTGACATGAGAGATAAGTTCCATTTTAATCTTCCAGAATATCAGGAAAGGGGAGGTGAAAGAAGAGAATTATGCAGGAGGTAGAGGTTTCAGTGGGAAAGGGAAATGGGAAGAAAGATGTCTAATATTCAAAGGATGCATTTAATGGAGATTTGGGGTGGTTGCTGTGGGAGAGAAAATGCTTTTCTTTTCAATGTAAACAAGGGAGCAAGTGAACAAAGCATCGCAATGCCTGAAAGCTCTCATAGCTGAGTGGCAGAACAGAGGGAAAATGAGAGTGCTGAGAAGTGGAGGGGGAGAAAGGGAAGCTGCTTTTACAGTCACACAAATAAAGAACCATCCCAACAAATTACTGAAACAATAATGCCAAGCGCTGCTTCAAGCATAATGCTACACTGCACGATTGCTACAAGGACAGAAAAAGTATTGCATAGCAAAAGCAACAGAAAGGCAGGAAAGTCCATTAACATGTACTCCATCCTATTTAAAGTAAAATCTCAGATATTTAAAGTAAAATCTCAGATGACGTTTGGAAGCTATCTGGCACTACAACAATGGTCATCTCTGACCTTCTACCTACAAACTGGAATTGCATTAAGGAAAAAATGAATCTTATGCTTGTTGATAAGTACCATCCAATTTTTCGAAGAGGACCCTACTTCAGTTTAAAACACAACGAATGTATTGTACAACACAAAAATCTGATCTAAAAAAATCCATTTTCTTTAATTCTTTAATTTTTTGATGGGAGGCAAAGGTCAAATTTATTTATTTGACCCTTCAGCAGGACAATTCACTCCAAATCAAATGTGCATTCTATCTGACTTCATCACCCTCTCCCACTCTTCAAAAGCAGGACTTTAATGATACATTCATTAAACATGCATCAGAATGATGTATTTACTTAAGGTGGTATAATCCGAAATTTAGACAGGAACTGGGACAAAGTGGAACGGCGTAGAGCATTAAAGCAGACAGAGAGCAGATACGCTGAATTTTGATAAGAAGCAAAAGTAACACAAACCCGTTGCCAAATATCTACTACCGATAACTTATCTCAAAATGTGACTTATCCTCCTGTCTCGTTTTGTCACATTTTGCAGTTTCTCCACCTTGGATTTCCAAGGTGGAGGAGGCATTTACTTACATCAAATAACCTTTCTATATACATCTCCTCATTGACCTTATCACGCAGGATGTCCTGAGAATGGCGAACGAAGGTCACGTAGGCGTCAGCAACATCCATTCCTGGTTTCTGTGCAGAGAAAGGTGGGGAAAGAAAAAAAAAGGGGGGGGGGAAGTATGAAAGTGGCAACTTTCAAGACAATTGTAAGAATTCCCTCCCCCATCCACTGTTATCCCTCACTCTGGGCTAGTCTTCTAGTAGATCTCCGTGACATATTTGGGCATCCGTGACTGCTTTCTGCTTTGTAGGTAGCTGAAGCCACTAACTGCTGGCTTGCACAGCACTGGAGAGCTCAAGGTACACTGTCTCTTGTCCATTTTTTCCTTGAAGGCTGGACTCGCATATTAGTGCTCAGAAGTTCTCTTTTGAAATATTAGGTATGGTGACCTAATCAGTAAAACAGCAATTTCTGCTATCCCCAGTCATCTGTATATCTCCTGCTACAAAAAAATCTGAAGGTTAGAGTTAGTCTGTTTTCATTCTCTTAAGGCTTTTGGAAAACGTATTGCTTGCATTTTAAAACATCATCAGATCCTTAGTGCATGTACCTCATACTATCTCTGTAGTTTTCTTCATTCCATTGTGGGACAATTAATATTTCTGTATGTCTAAGGGTGCAATCCAGTTAAAGTTAAACACTTTGGCAATGTATTGATTTCAACAGAAAGTTAAGCAGATAGTTAACTTCCACTCATTGATACTAATGGGGCATTAAGTCTACTAAGCTTTGGCTTCATTGTGTCCCAAATCTATAACTACTTAGGCCCCAAGCCTGTGTAAAGTTGCCCACAAGTAAGCACTGTTGAACGAAGAGGGACTTAGTAAACAAGCATTGGACTGCCAGTGGCATCGCCAAGTAATATCGAACTATGAACTTTGTGATCTTATTGCGAAGAAGGTGGAAACTTCAGACAGCTATGCGCATTGCTTCAGTTGTGTTAGCATTTCCCCCCCCTACACCACTGCTCCGTGTTTTGTATCTGGTTCTGCATACCTGATGTGTTAGAATGAAACAACGACATCAAATGTTTGCAATCCCAATGGTTCACAGCGCCATCAGGACTACTAGAATATTGCGGAGTCTGCCAATCTAGGCGCTGGCCTTTTTGTGGCTGTTCCCATCATCTGCAGTGGTCATTTTGGAGGCCTTGGAGCTCTGGAGCCCCGGACTTCAGCACCAAGGTCCATCCCTACTCGTGCTACTGAGGACTGCCTGTTACACTCCCACCTTCTCAGTGTGTCTCTCTGTGTACCTATTTCCCTTAAACCTAGTCTAATAAAGCTTGCAATATTTGTGTCGGTCACAGCCCAGTTTGTCTTTCTCTCACAAGAACAAGAAATGGAAATAATTTGGGGGAAAATAACCACTAAATAAGTTCACACTCCTTGATATGTTGGAATCAAACTTATCTCAAAGGAAACCCATTAAAATGCTGAAATAAGAGTCATTATGAAAGGTGCCACACAAATCTTAAATGTCTGTGGCGCATTGGAAGTTTCTTAATAATGGGTGTCATTACTTTTATTACTGTGATTTACTGCAGATCACAAAGTATCATTTCTCTATGAGATGCGATTGTCAGCCACTGTAAATTGAAGTTAGTTAACACTTCTGTGTAATTTCCAGGGTGAAAATGAGGACAGTTTGAGAAGCAGTAGGAAAGTAGTTTATAGATATATGTATTAAAACAGAAATACAATTATCAAGCAAAGGGCCAATGGTTGGCCCTGGAGATGCCAGTAACATTTTTAACACCTACTGAAACAATGACAAGGTATTAATTTAAAAAACAACGAGGACAATATAAAATGTGGCTGTTATACTTTTCAAGCAATTTCCAGCAAGTGGATTGTGCCAGCTTTATGATGTAATAAAGACCGCTTCAATTGTCCAGTACAAAACAATTGTCTTCCTAGTTGAGGAAACAGCTATCTGGTTAATACCAAGAGAGCAAAGCTTTTACCTGATTCTACAGCTGTTTGTTTATTTGTTTGGCTAGGATGTGGTAGTGGCTTATCATTCATAGCATTGCTAGTCACAGGGAAGAGGGTGTAGGAACAGATAGATTGGAGATGATAACTTAATTGTGAAGATTAGAAGGTAGCTGAGCAAGGGGGACCTGAAATTGGATCTAGCTTCTGTAGAAGGAGTCTTTTTGTGGAAAGTCCCTCTGGTCAATTTTCAGGGATTCCCCATCACCTGTATCCAATTCATCCCGATGTGTAATGTTGCCTGGGGACTGGAAGGGCTGCCCTGGTGAAAAGGGGGAAGGGAAATCTGCTTCTACCAGACCAGTTACTCAGGCCTAAAACTGGATCCAGCCTCTAGGATATTTTCGTGTCCGTCCTTTCTCCCAGTGAATGTATTTGCAGGCGTGCAAATCTTGGCATTAAACTGTAAGTGCAGTTTCTTGGCATTTCCATCCTAAATGCTTGTGTGATGAAGTGGTCTTATGAAATTGGCCCACCCCTCCAACATCAGTGTGGGGGAGTATTGGATTTGTACCAAGGAGACTTAAATCTTTGCTTAACTGGAGTGCTCAGGAGGTGCACTTAGAATCATAGAATAGTAGAGTTGGAAGGGGCCGTGAAGGCCATCAGGTCCAATCCCCTGCATACTATGGGTCACTGGCTATTATTTTTTAAGTTTAACTTGCTTAAAGTTAGATGGTGTTTCTTTGACTGTTTTGAAGAAACAGCAGGAATTTTACAGAAAGATAGGTGATATGGTAAGATCAGAAACTACAACCACACCTTTCACCATGTAAAAACAGAAAGGAATCTTGAAGTGTTCTATGGACAGCTAGTTTGCTACCCTGTGAGCAGAGTGCTGGACTGGACAGACTATTCATCTGATCCATGACGGCTTTTATGTTCTAACTTCCATGAAGATATATTGAAGTAACTATAATTGATGTATTGAGTTACAATTCCTATTATCCTCAGTTAGTAGGGATATTGATTCTGCTGGCTGGAAATGGTAGTCTATCTCAAATGGAGGACACCAGGTTGGGGAAGGCTGATTCAAGTCCTACCCACAACTCTAGCTTCTATTTTCTTGACTGTGTAACACCTTTACAAACATGAATTCACATGCAGAATGTGGATGATAAAATTAAAATCTGCTTGCAAATTATCAGAACAAAATGTCTGTCCGTAATTGACTCCTGCTTTATCAGTCGTAATCCCTGGCTCCAGTTGGTGTTCATATATTGCACTTAAACTTAATTTAAATGTTAATTTCTGGTGAGCAGAGTGCTTTGCCTGGAGTCTTTAAGAGTGCTCTTCATTATAATCCAAGCTCTAAATAGAGAACTGTAGCACCATTTGCCCTTTTAAAAATGAAATAATAAGGTTGTCTCACAGGAAAGGCTCCAAGGTTGCTTTTGGCATACACATCACCAGCTCACCAAAAAACATTTCTCCCATATTAAAGTTAACATTATATGAGCACTTAGGAAAATAAGCATTAAAAAAGAATTAACATATTCAAGGTCCCCTGTAATATGAGGTAGACTGTCTTTGTTAAATAATACAACAGTTAAAAATGAACAGTTGACAACCTATCAGGTAATTGAGTACTTAGGCCTGTTATCTCTGTGTTGGCTTGTGGCCTGATTTAAAAATAGGATCCAACATCTGATTGTTTTGGTTCCTGGACCCATTTTGAAGTCATGCCTTGTCAGCAGGCTTGTCATTCCAAGGGAATTCCCATTGTATGTTCTGCCACTGTATACCAACTGCTGGGGGATCTGGGCAGGAGCAGAGCGAGGACCCATTTAGTCCAGTTTCCTGATTATGGAGGCCACACAGCTGCCTGCAAGAAACACCTAAGCAGGACATGTGCGCAAGAGTCCTAGCAACTCATGTATGCAGACAATACTGTCTCTGATACTGGAGGTACCATATACTGATCAGAACTAGTAGCCATTAATGGCCACCTTGTCCATGAACTTATCCAGTCCCCAGTTAAAGCCACCCAAATTGCTTCACATCTCATGGAAGTAAATCCCACTGTTTGCTTTGGGAAGAAATACTTCCTTTTATCAGTCCTGAATTTCCCATCAACCAATTTAATGGGATGGCCCAGATTCTAGTATTAGGGAAGAATGAGAAAAATATCTCCCTGCCCACTTTCTCTGCACAATGTATAATTCTGTACCGCTCCAATCATGTCTCTCTCTACTTGCCTTCTTTCCTAAGCCAAACAATCTCAGTTGCTGTAACCTTTCTTACGGACGAGTTGATCCATCCCCTGGATCTTGTTATTTTCAGAACTGTTCCCAACTCTACAATATCCCTTTTTAGGTCTGGTGACCAGAACTGTACATTCTAAGTATCCTGAATCTGACAGCATTTTTTGCCCAATGCGCATCACTTTACACTTGCTTACATTGAACCGCGTTTACCATTTTGGTGCCCACTCTCCCAGCTTGGAGAGCTCATCTAAAAGTTTTTCACAATTTTTGTTTTGTTTTGTTTTTGTCTTTGGTAGGGGACTCTGTCAAAAGCCTTTTGGAAGCTGAAGTAAACAAAATCTGTCAGAAATCTCGAGTCCACTATATTTACTGACATTGTCTAAGAAATCTAAAATGTTAGTGAGACGGGGGGAACGCGGTGGTGCAGCGGGTTCAACTGCTGATCTGCTGTGCTGCCGATTGAAAGGTCAGCGGTTCAAAGCTGTGCAACGGGGAGAACTCCCACTGCCTTGTCCCTGGATCTTGCCAAACTAGCAATTCTAAAGCATGTAATGCAAATAGGTAAATAGGTACCACTTTGGTGGGGAGGAAGTAGTGCCCTGTGACATCATGCTGGCCGCATGACCGCGGGAACATCTTTGGACAGCGCTGGCTCATGGCCATTGAAACAGAGATGAGCGCTGCCCCTTATAGCCATTTCAGCCAACCGAGTAAAATCCACAGGGACTCAAAAAAATAAAAATAAAAAAAAAATGGTGAGACAGGACTTGCCTTTGGGGAAGCCATATTGATTCTTTCCTTGCCTTCTGTATGCATACTAATTGTATCTTTAATAATGCTTTCAACCAATTTTTCCAACAGAGATGTTAAGTTAACTGGTCTGTAATTTTCCATATTCCCCTAGATCCCTTTTAAATAATTGGTGTTACACTGGCCATTCTCCAATCCTCTGGTACAACAGCTGTTCTCACAGATGTGTTACATATTTTATTAGAAGATTGGCAATTTCATATTTCAGTGCTTTTGAGACTGCTAGGATGAGTAATATCTGGGCTGGATACTTTATTAACTTTAAGTTTGTCAACAAGACTGTGAACTTTTAATTTTTGTCACATCATTTGTCTTTATTTATTAGATTTGTATTCCACCTTTTTTCTTTTTAAAGGACTCAAAGCAGCTCAAACCAGTCTCCTCTTCCTCTCAATCTTATCCCCACAACAACAACCTTTAGGGCTGAGAATCTGTATCTTGCCCACAGTCACCCAGTTGGCTCCATGGCTGAGTGGGGACTAGAACCTGGACTGGCTGAGTCCCAGTCCCATGCTCTTAACCACTACACCACACTGGCTCTCTGTCCTTTATTTGTCCTGCATCTTCTGCACTAGGGACAGCTCAAAAGAATTTATTCAGCTTCTCAGTAACCTCTTTATTTTCTTCCTAGTATTTTTAACTCTATTATACAACAGTCCAACTGTTTTCCTAGCTGGTTTCCTGCCCCTGATATATTTAAAAACATAGGAACAGATCGAGTCAGAAGGAGCCTCCTGGGCCATCTAGTCTGACCCCGGCTCCAGCCAGCACTGCTCATGACATGCCCACCATGTGCATGTCCAGCCTATCCTTGAACACCCACACCAATGGGGCCTCCACGACCTCTCATGGAAGCCCATTCCACACCCTCGGGGTCCTGACTGTCAGGAAGTGCTTCCTGGCATCCAAACGGAACCTTGGCTCCCTGAGCTTTGCTCCATTGGAATGTGTCCTGCCCTCCTCTGCAGGGGAGAACAGGTCTTGACCCACCTCCATATGACACCCCCTCATGTATCTATATGTCTCCTTGGAGTCTTCTCTTCTCCAGGCTGGAAAAACCCTTTTCCCTCAGACTTGTCTCATAAAGGATTCTTTATTGTTGCCTTAGTTGTTGTTAGCAATATGTGCCACAGAATGCATTTCTGCAGCTCTTACTGTCTGCTTGCATCTCCCTTCCACTTTCTGAAGGAAGTCTTCTTATCTCTAATCACTTTGTTGCCACTGCTCATTAATTTTGTTGGTGATTTGGGATGTGTAAGGAATCCATCTTATGCAGAAAATCTGCTGGATTCCCTGTTTTTGGTTTCTGCAATCTGATCCACTTTGCAGTGGCCCAGAGTTCAAATTCCTTGCAAGTGTGCCCTGGTTTGTGGAATGCTTGCCTGGAATTGAGCCTCACACACTATGCAAGTAGCAGCATTCTTCCATGGCAGTGGCAGGGAGTGGGGAAGAAGGCTGGCTTCCATGCCTGCTGTTGCCTCCAGCAGCAGCGAGGGGAAAAGAAGACTGGTTGCCAGGAATGAGGCATTTGAGACTTAAGAGCATTCTTGGACTTCCATTTGGCTCAGCTCACTTTGTAGGGTTGGGCCAAACATGAGAAGAAGTCTATGGATTCTGATGGACCCTAAAAGGGTTTGTCCCAACATCTACTGGTGACCTCTTGGACTTGATGCCTCTTTTCCTAACAGGTGTCATACCCTGTATTTCAGCTTCTTTTATTGTACTTTTGAGTAATCTCCCAGCATTTTTGAGGGGAAAGTCTCTTAACTCTTTCAATTTCCTTTTTATCAGTTCCTTCATTTTAGAGAAGTTTCCTTCTTTTGAAGTCAAATCTGACTGTGTTGAAACTTCCTTGGCAAGTTTCTGATGACACTGTTGTCAGCATTTTCAATGCACCATTTTCAACAAGATTTGCTTCTCATACCAGGTCCTGGGCAACACTGTTTAGAATTACACCAGGATTGGCTCCCTCTGCCAGTTTCATGGCCAGCTATTCCGGGGCACAGTTGGTTAGGGCACTGAGAAATGTAATCTCTTCGTTGCTACTGGAATATGTATTCACCCAATCAATGTGGGGGTAATTTAATTCACCCATTATTAGAGCATTTTTTACTGGAGACCTCCTTGCTTTTATTCATGTCTCAAGATCATTCGAAGTATTCTGGGCTGAGGATATTAGCATATTTCTGGTGCCAACTTAGTTTTGGAGCCAGGAATTTTCACCTACAGTGTTTCTGTGGAAGGATCTGCCTTTTGTATGTTTTCTAGTCTGCTGAGCTGATGCCTTGTGGGTTCTTCACATGGAGTTGATTGGCCATTGAGTGAATAGAATGCTAGAATACATGGACCAGTGGCCTGATCCAGCGTGGCTTTTCTTATGTCCTTAAAGCATGAGCCTAAGACAACTGCACATGAATGACTGTCCTTAAGAACACCGATGTTTGTTCACCACTGTGTAAGGTGTTACATCCTTACACTTTGTTCAGACTCCTTCCACATCTCAGAAAGGAGTAACCATGTCTTGTGATCTACGTAAGGGAGAATGCCAAAGACAGTGCAGCCACATAGTTGTTGATTCATATGCAGTGGTGAAGACTGAAGGTTTACATGATGTTTGTTCCATATTCTTCAATGCATTATATTTCACATTTCACTGGGTGATAAACACCATATGATGCATTTGACAGAAGTCCATAAAAGTAGGCATCACAAGAGGGGGGAAATGCTGGAAATGTTCAGAATGAATCAGCTCTCACAAAACCTTTATACAAACGTCTCAGGTTTCCATTGGCTAAGCAAATATATGTATGTGCCTGCGTATATGTAAAATTGCAAAAATGACACTGTCCCTAAGCCCATTTGTTATTAAAAAAGAGAGACCCTTGCTTAAGTCATGCTTACGGGCACATCCACGTATTTGGAAGCTGCCTTCACCTGAAACAGAAAGATAGCAGACTTTAGATTAAAGTGCCTTGTTTTGAGATAAGTAACCAATACTCAATCAGGGTAACAAAATATAGTACTTTTATTATTAGAAATACTATTTTTGTTAGAGCAATTAAGTTTGACTGAAGGATAGATTATAATTAAGCAAACTGAAGCACTTAGTTGATAAAAAATTCTAAACATATTTGCACATGCATTAATCAAATTTCAAAACCAGGGAGCACAGTATTAAATAAATCAGGTAAGTGGTTTGATTTGAAATGACAGCACAACTTCAGCACTAGGCGGGGGAACAGGGCTCTGTTTCCACCTTATTCTGTGAGGCTGGGAGCCTCTAAAGGCTGATTCCTCCCTGTGCTGCCAAACAAGCATGGAAAGCTCCAGGCCACGCCACCCTGCAGCTCATCCCATGTGCCCTGTGGGTTCTCACAGTACCCTGGCGAGGCTGCTCTGCAGCAACTCCCCTGCCTACTCTAGACTAATGTAAAAAGGAGCCCCAAGCGCTTAGAAACTGTCTCAATGACTAGTGGCCTGTGATTCGCCATATTGACCATGGATGAGATTCCATGGCATGGGGCAGTTGGGACCGATTACATGAAGAAGAAGAAAACCATCTATAGCCCACACATGAATTGGATTTGGTGTTTTAATATTCTGAGAGCCAAAGGAGAGCTTGCTTTCATTTTTACTCTAGTGTAAGCACAGGAGCTCCAATCAGGATAAAGATCTTACCATGGAGTATAGAGGCTTTAGCACTTTCCCAAGCCCATATGCCTAGCATTTAAAGTCATTTATGTCTTTTGATTAATTTCTGCTTTGACTCTGAATGTTCCAAGATGATGAGACACATTGTTTATATCTCCCTATTTCACCTTCCTGCAAGCAAAGGGGAAACCACACATGCAATGCTATCCTTTAAGCCTCAGATGTTGACCGAGATGGGATGGCCCTGACCAACGTGGTTGTGCTTACTTGGTGCAGTATCAGCCCAGGACACAAGCCTGTGGCAGTGTATAGCCCTGGTCCATAGCAAAATCACCTCCCTCACCGGGGGGGGGGGGGCTTTTCAGTCTGGAGCAAGGTTCACTCTCCCAGTGACAGTTCCGTGAGACATTCTCTCCATGTCCATTTCACTGGGACCTTGTCTCACTGTGGCCTGGAGAGATGTGGGAGGCCATCAACATGACCGCTCTTGAACGTCCTCTCCAGTCTGGAAGAACCCACACTGCTCCTTGGTATTCTAGGGAACTGCGGGCAATGAAACAAGCTGGACACAGTGAAAATGGTGAAAGACTTGGGGTAAGGATGAGTGAACACGTGCTGGAACACACACTTGCGCCTATTTCATAGCAGGGGAGGCTGCAAAGAGGCTTGCTGTGCTGCTTCCATCACATTTTCTATTAGTTCTTCCATGTGGTTCAAAGTGTGGTAATATCAACACAAATGACGGAGGTGTTGATAGGCATAGGACCTCACTGCGACCAGTTGGTGTAACACTTCAAAGGCAAACTCACTCTTCTTTGCAACGGCCTTGACTCAGCTGTTGTTGGAAGTGCTGAGGCGTCCGAGGCACCATTTGCTTTAGCTCTCTGGGATCACTTTCAGTTTCCAATACCAAGCATGTGAGAGGATGCATGCCTGCCATTTCAGCCAATGTCCACATTGGGTGATTTGAGCAAGTTGGGAAGGGGGCTTGTCCAAGTGGGCCTGGCTCGTGAGAAATGTTTCCACGCATGGGGGAGCAGTGCCTGCCACTTTAAAGAGCCGGCAGTGCACACACTCTTGAAAATGCCCATCCTTGCCACAGAAGTATCTGAGGATTACCAGCCAGTGGCAAACACTTCCTTTCTAGGTAATGTGTTTGAAAGGGTGGAGGAAACAGATTATCTAGATCCACTCCAAACTGGTTTCAGGGTTTCTGATTTTGGGACAGAATCAGCCCTGGTCACCCAGCTGGGTGGGGGGTTAGGGTTAGGGAAAAGAGTGTAACCCTTTTGATTCTCCTTTATCTTTTAGCATCTTTCGGTATCATTGAACATGATATCCTTCAGGACCAGCTCTATATGCTCAGGATGGGAGGAGCTGTGTCGCACTGGATAGAGGTTGAATTTTGAGAAGATGGAAGCACTGTGAATAGGTGGATCCTATGTGGGGGGAATTAGGTTAAATGTTCTGGATGGGGTTGCACCAGGTTCATAGTCTGTGTATGGTCCCTGAAGTACTGGAGGCTCAGCTGAACTCAATGACTAGGAAAGCCTTTATCAGCTTAGCTTAGTTGGTGTGCCATCTCTGGATGCTCTGGACTGCAGACAGTCTGTCCATGGTGTTCCATGTATTGGTAATCTTAAGGCTGCATTTCTGTAGTGTTTCTAGGTGAAGTTTCCCTTGGGACTAGTTTGGAAACCAGCCGGTGCACAAACCAATGGGTTGCTGAGCAGAGAAGCATAGTATAAACATGCTACACCTTCGTTCAGAGGACTTCATTAGCTGCTTAACGTACTACAAAATGATGCTATTGATACAGAAAGCCCTAAAGAAGTTGGAACAAGTTGCGGGAGGGAGTGCTTTCTGCTTGATTGCTGAGATCTATTGGGGTGGTGGTGGTGCTTCCATGAGTTTGAGTCTAACTGAAGTTTCAAGATGGACAGAGAGCCCCTTTTACAAAGGTGCCATAATGCATCCTATTTGCCTTTCTGTAACATAAAAGCATTTAATTAGAACACACCATTGGTCTCCAGCCCTGTTTAGGTTTCTGAAATGCTTGCCTCTTTCTAAATATCTGGTAAACACACGCATGCACACAGTATTGTGTGATCAACAAATACAGCTGAAACAATGATGGAGACAGAATGTGTGAGTGGGTGGGTGCTGTCCTGAGATGTCTGTGTGAACAATTAAGCGAGGCAAGGAGGCATATGGGGCCATGTGAGCATGGCTGGCTGAAACTGACCCTAGTGTAACCATGTAAAAAGCATAGAAGAATAGACAGGGGAGGGGAGGGGAGGGGAAAAGCCACTGCTATATATGCATAAATTGCCTTGCCAGGGAAGATTAGAATTTAAAAGGTGTCATTGATAAATCTTGGATCCCAAAAAGGGAATAAGACAAACTGTTGAAAGGGTTTCTTTGTCATGCCTTCTCCCAGCTGCTGTCAGAGATCCACGGAAAGCCCTCGGAACACCTTGGATATTCATTTTTTTCCTGAATAATTTTCTGTCTGCTGGGAAACTGTCCCCTTCCCTGATAAAGCAGTTGTGCAGAGTGATGTACATTATTGGGGAATTCTGCCATGTGCATTCTGATTGTCCTGGATGTGAATGTGCATTCAGCTGCACAGCGGAATGTGTTCAAGTGCTGTAAGATGTGCATATCTCGTCCTGCAAAGCCTAGCTTGTCCAGCTGCCAATTTTTTTCCAGCTCAAGTAAATTGGATAGCATTGGACATAAGGCAGGTTTGGAATAATTGTCCACACCAGTGGGACAACACTTTCCGTGATGGAAATCAAACCTGGCGGATTACTGCAGCATCCCTAAGCACTGGTAATATTGTTGCATTTCAAGTTACATATGAGAATGATTCGATTCTTCCTCTTATTAATTTTGGTACTTAAACACATATACAGTCGCTTATTCTCTGGGAAGAATGATTGGATTGCAATGTTTACTACCAGGGACTTCAGTCACTGAGCAGTCATCTTAGGCCACATACAGGCTGTGCCCAGCTTTTCAAAAAGCTGATGGCTGCACTTGAGAACAGTCATTGCCTAAAATAAACACCTTCATTTCCCCCAGTCCTTCTTATGCTCTCCGGTCAAACTGATTTTGGGAGCTTTGGGAGCAATTTCCCTGGCAGAACATGAAAAACCTGAAATTTATTCCCAGCAGAGAGATCAACACTGCTGTTTTGAATGCATGTCTATTTTGGCAGGACCCTTCCAGATATCTGTGTTGACTTATGCTCATAAGGACCATGGGGAAAGGTGTGGTTGAAACTGCCCCTTGCGGTCTCTCCTGTGCTCAGCTGATCAGCTGGAACCAGCTCAGCCATGAGGAATACGAGGTGTGCTTATAGGCAGACCCTGCCTTCCATTCTTCCGTGCCATTCAGTTGTTTGCTGTCAACCAACTGAGCAGTCAGTGGGAGAAATCGCAGAGAAGGGGAGGTTCAACCTCCCCTCCCATGATCCCACTGTGGTATTTGAGTGTGTGTGAGAGAGGGAAAGAGGAAGAGGATGCAGTATGAGGTTGCCTGCCTGGGTGGGACCCTGCATCTCTGCCCCCTCTTCCCTGCTGCTTATCTGACCACTGCCAATCATCTGAGCATCATTGCGGAGGAGGCTCAATTCTTTTCTCCATGATTTGTCTCCACCTACTCAGGTGATTGGTGGAAAAAAACAGAGCGGCAAGGGCTGAGGAGAGGTGGAAAGGCCTCAGAAGGAGAAGCTGAGAAGAGTTATGCAGACTCCATGGGCTGAGTCCAGCCCATGGGTCACTGGTTTCTCAACCCTTGTACACAGCACCTTGAATAACTGACACCAAATAAAGACCAAATAGCAGCAATGGGAGTCTTTAAATTGCTGACCTACATATTCATTAATACATTTGTCAGATGCTGCAGTGTCTGCAGGAAGGGAAAATATAATGTGTTTTGCTATGCTACTAAAACTAGGAATAGAGAGATAATTATAGAACTTGGACCTATGAAAAATGGTATTTTAAAAATAAGCCAGGAAGAAGGAGTCATGGAACTACAGCAAAATAAAATGAACGTTTGCCATGATAAAGATATAATATAGTAATAACTCAATCTGTCCTCCACATTGCCTTCTCACAGCCCCCAACCCCAAGCATAAAAAACAACAAACTCAACCACAACTGCTTGTTTTTCTTGAGTGTAAAATTTGGCTACATATACAGCAATTTCCACACAGCCGGATGTTGTGTGATTTTTTGCTAGGCAGTAGCTCTTAAGGAATTATGTGACTTTTC